AGAGCCAGAGGAAGAGGTGAAATATTTTGGAGTGTGTCTCCTGGGCATGCCTTGACCTTTGCACTCTTGGACTCACAGCAGGTATGATTACCTGCCCATCTCTGAGGATCCATAGGCGGCTGATGGTTGCTGGGAGAAAGGAGTGATATTTTTCAGTGGTGTAGTCCCTGATTAAGGTACCCATGCTCCTGTAAACAGTCCTAACGGAACTCATGGGACACCAAAATAAGACATGAAAAGTCTGCTTACATCTTTCCATGGAGCCCATATTAATTTCAGGGATCCTCAGTATCTGCCATGTGTTGAGGTCTTGAGACTCAAAGCTGATTATCTAGACTCAGCCCTTGTTCTCAGAGGCCAAGAGGGGTGATGGTGCTCTAATGGTGGACATGTCCCCAAACCCATGGTATAGATGCTTAATGCCAGATTGAGAATGGGCAGGGGTCACAGTGGCAGCCCCATGAGTTATTAGAGCTGCCCCATGGCTGGGATTTTTATTGAACTCCTTGGTCTCATGCTCATTTCACACCTGTTTAGATAGTTAATTATTTCTCCTGGGTTCCTTCACCAATAGTCCTTCTAGTAGAAGTTACTTCTAATTGATGGGCTCAAAGTTGAACAGCGGTCCTGGCCTTTCTGAAAGAAAACCACTGATGGTCTTTTGGGACATTTTCCTATGTCTGGGCTCCCACTGGCTGCAGAGGGGGCATAGTAGGCCTGGCACTTTGCTAAATGGATGCTGGGTACTTTGAAAAACCTGTTCCTTACTGCTTTGCCTGAGCAGATAATGAAATGGAATTGTCCCATGTGGGACAAAGAGAGAGCCTCTCTATGCAGGCCCAGCCTCCTGGGTCCTCAACAGCCAGGAAGAGTTGAGAAGGAGGGAGACATACTGAGGAGAGCCTGGGTAACTCACAGAAAATGTGACTCCTGTAGAGGAAGCAAAATGGGACACCTGGCTGCTTACCCACACCACCACCCCACCACCCTAGAATAAAAGCCAGCGGGAAGGGCTGGCTTGATTTACCTTTCCGGTGGGCCTGCTCTGCTTAGTGTGTTAGAGTCTGACTATTCAGGGTAAGCCCTGTGCAGCTGAGCCTCGAGAGTCCTGGGAGGCAACATTTTACAGCACCTCTGTGTAGCAGAACCCCGGTGCATGGTGGGTTCTTCCTGGGCAAAGAAGCCACCTCTCTTGCTTTGTAGAGGTGCAAGTAAGACTGTGGAGAAGTGGAAGCCCTTCCCTTGACTCTGCTCTGAGAGAGCACAAGTACTCACTGGAGCCTAAGCTGTAAGTCCAGATGAAGGCTAACTTTGTAAAGGGCCATCTGTATGTTGACATTTGGTTAGGAGATTCATGCGGCTATCAGACATGGCTCCAGAGCAAGGAGATGAAGAAGGGGGATGAGTATCACCGTCCATAATTGGATGCAAGGCCATCCCGTGGGTTACAGTCAAGAAAGGATGAGCATACTCTCCAGTTCTTGCTCTCCTGGTCAGGCCAAGTCCCACTGAGCCCTCCTGCTTGCTGTTTTACAGGGAGAGGTGCAGCGCTCTCATATTGCTTCCCAAAGGGCATTCCTGGGCAGACTTTACTACTTTTTTTGCTACTGAGCTGGAGCCAGACATGGTACTAGCCCTGCCCTATAGAGGGCACTCACTGTCTTTGCCTCTTGAAGAGCTCTTGGATTTGGGAAATCTGAATATCTCTAAGACTTAGATGCTAAGACTCAGCCTCTCCACAAACACCTAGCTTTACATCTCCTTATGAGATCCCAGATGTGTAGGAAAGAGTACGCATAAGGCTGAGTACTGGATCTGTGCAGTGAATGGACGGCTTACTGGAAGGTGCTTGCTGTGAACAGCAGTCTTGTCTGCCTTTGCTCCCTTTTATGGAGTCAAGCATAAACAGTAAGACCAACTTTGCTTCCTCTGTGCTAGCTGAATGCAGTGTGATGCTTCCGGTGTTTGTGTGACACCCAAGGCTAATTTTAATAACAATTACTCAGCACTATCTGTGTGCTGTTAACACGTTTAACTCTGGATTCTATGGCAGCCTTACTGAGAGATCTGTTTTTCTCTTGTCTACTTTTCTGAGGGGGAGACCGAGGCACAAGGCACTTAAGAATTCTGGGTGGTATGGTTGGCAAGGCAAGGGGGTGTAGAACACCTCTTGGTCCTGGTTTGTCAGGCATAAATCCAAGGAATAGCTGCTCATCTTGACTGATGCTGGGTGTTTATATTAGAGTTCCCAGGCTAGGACTGGGTTTGCTTGTCTCTGGTTGGACCAGGATGGTCCTATGTGTACAACAGCTCTCTGGAATTGGAGGGTCTTTTTATTTAATGTCTGTATTTCACAGCTGGTTCCAGTGGTTCATCTTCTCCAATGGATGGCATGGAAGAGTTTTTTTTTTATTGTGTGTGCTGGTCCAAGTGACCTTTATAATGAAAGCAAAGTATCATCACAGTGAGAAGAAATTATTAAAAGGAAAATAAAGGAAATGTCATGAATTTACAATGTGTCCTGTCTTTTAATATACACACAAAATATTTAAGATCAATATGAGACCAGACACTCAAACTGGAGTAAAAGGAAACAAAGCTACCTTGGTCGAGCCATAAATAGCTACAGAAACTCATACATGAATTTGGCTGTGGGCTCTCTTGCAGCGAAATGTGAAAAAGGAGCCCAATCAGCCATTCTGTATGGCAAGTGTGTGCTGTTAAGATGGGGTTAGGATACAGGAGTGGAGACAAATGTCAGGTAGAGAAGGAGCATGAATCGGTACCCAGGTTGTTGTTTGAGCTGCATCGTTGGCTCAGGAAATTCAGCGAGACTGTTCAAAATTCCTCATCTTCAGTTAGCATCTCTAAATTGATAAATGCTTCAATTCTCTTTCCTTGCTGTAGGGTAAAGCATGGCACTTAATGCCAGCAATCGTCCGTTTTGCCAGAATCTTGCTCATTTAAGAGTGGCGTGAGAACTATCTCATTGCTATGGGGCTTGTCAGGATGAGTAAATCATGTGCACGTTGATTTCAGATCCAGGCATTGGCTATGTGAGCGGTCATCTTGTATGATAATAAAAGCTCAGTCTTTACATGTAAATAATTGTTTAGGACAAAGGGTCTGGGGAGGAAGCTTAGTTGGTAAAGTGCTTGCCATGAAATCGTGTGAATTTGACTTCAGATCTCTCCACCCATGCAAAAAGCCCGGCGTGGAGGCACACACCCCTCATCCTAGTCCTGTCCAGGCGGGGACAGGATGACCCCTGGCTCACTGGCCAGCCAGTCTAACTGAATTGGTGGGCTCCAGGTCCAGTAGAGAAGCCCTGTCACAAAACGTTTAAGTGAGGAACGATAAAGGAAGATGCTCAAGGTTGTCCTTGACTTCCACACACATAAACACACATGAACACATGAACGCATACATACCATGTGCACCCACATGCACACAGTCCTGTAAAGTAAACTGTTAGTCTTATTCATTTGGGAAAACAGAATCACAGTAAAATAAGGAGCTAGGAGTGAGAAAACCATGCTGGACCCTCTTTAGTCCTGGGCCTGTGTGCAGTTGAACAAAAGGCCCATCTGTTTGAGGAGGGATTTCTTTACCAATCTGTCCCTGGGTAATGATGGTGATGCTCTTTACCTTGGTTGTTCTAGGTGATTGAATAGTTCAGAACATGACTCTCATGACCTCTGCTGTTCTTCATTCTTTTGAGCTTCTGTCCTGTGCTGAAAGAGGAGCCTGAATTCCATGCCTTCCCTCCTGAGGTAGCTAAGAGGAGGAAGCATGAGAAATTGGTGGGGAAAGCTGGCCATGGGTATTGATTTCTTCCTGCTGTCTGAAGGTCAGAAGCAGAGAAGTGACAGAGACAGAAATCCAAGGCACTCCTGGCCTGGGACCGAACCCAGACAGCAGGCTCCCACCCCACTGTCCCGTCTACCAACACCTGCCCACCCTCTCCTCTCCAACAGACTGAGAGGCAGCTATGTGGACGGGGCCCAGAATCAAGATGGTATATGGTGAGGGAGGCCACTTAGGTGCCTGGAACTGTCCTTAGGACCATCAGGAGGCAGACCCCATATGTGGATGGCTTCCTGATACAACAGGTGGCACACTTTTAGATGAAAGTTTGTCCACATAAGATGGGAACTTCTGCCGGTGCTCAGTCCACTTCCCAGCAAGCCTGCCTAGGAGATATGTTGGTCATCCTTTGAGCCAGCCCTCTTCCCCATCTCGCTCCTGACCCTACTACCCCCTTCAGTTCTGGCCCCGCATTCCACTAAACTGTGTTACGGGAGTTGGCAGGGAACTCCAAGCTGTTGGACGCCTTGTCCTCATCTCTCCGCTGGCTCCTGGCTTTTCAGTGTTAACTCTGACATCTCCTTCTCCGTCCTTCTTCTACCACTACAAGGACACTTGGAATTCTTTCTCCAGGGTCTAGAAAAGATTATCCATCCCTTCTTCTTTGCTACATCTAATGAAAGGCATCCATGGTGATACTGAACCCCATGGCCTTCTCCACTGACTTCTACCCCTGAGCCACGCTGGGATATCTTGGGGGTTCTGGGAAACTCTGCAACACAGCAAAACTGCCCAATTATCTCTGGAGCTCAGACTGTTAACTGAAAGTGGTCATATTTCCTTAAATATGCCTGCACAAGGAGAGTTGGAAGCAGTTGGCTTTGAGACCTTGATATGATGGTGGAAAGTGTCAGCTGTTTCCAAGTCCTCTGTCCTGTGGGTAGTCTGGCCACTGCATAGGCTGTAGTTTGGGGCTAATTTTTGACAATCATTGCCACTATTCGTGGAGGAGTAGATGGTGACATTTCTCAATAAGGAATGCTAACACATTGTCACACATGACACTCACACCGGTTTTGACATGACTGTGAATGACTTTGTAGTGGGACAGCTGGGCTAATAATTGAACCTTTTCCCCCCTGCAGCTAAATAATGGTTGTATGAATCAAGGCTTGTCTCCTTGTGTTTTCTAGACGCTCTGAGCAAAACCCATCAAGTCGTCTATGAAAATGGTGGCACTATCCTTAAAGATCTGTGTCCGTCACTGCAATGTGGTGAAGACCATGCAGTTTGAGCCATCGACAGCCGTATACGATGCCTGTCGAGTCATTCGGGAGCGAGTGCCCGAGGCGCAGACTGGACAAGGTGGGTCATGGTTACTCACTGGTTTCTGAAAATGTGCTTGGATGTCCCTGAACTTTGTAGCTAAAGGGACACACCTAGACACATATAGAACATCTCTGTTTTAAGCCAGGCATGGAGGCTCACTCCTTTAATCCCAGCACTCTGGAGCCAGAGTCAGGCTGATAGTACTGAGTTAAGGCCAGCCTAATCTACATAGCCAGTTCCAGGCTAGCCTGTACAACCCAATAAGACTCTGTCTCCAGGAGGGACAAATCTGAATTTTAAATGAAATACCTTCTATATTACTTCCGGTCAAGAACAAGACTTTCGTTGTCCATGACCACATTAACATGGATCCTCAGTACTCAATGTGAATATGCCTGTTTTCTTGGCCCTCCTCAGGTGAGCATCCTGCTCTGTAATTCACAAACCATTTTTTGATGTGTCACTACATGGGTTGAATAAAGAGTAACATACTTGCCTGGTACATACTGACTCCAAGTAGCCTCAGCCCTGTGTGCAGGGCTTACTGTGCAAGCCCTCTGAAGGAGCTTCATGAATTTTTTAACTCAGTTTTTAAAAAGATTTTATTTTTAATTATGTGTGTATATCTGCATATGGGTTTGTGCACGTGTGAGTGTTGACACCTACTGCATCCAGAAGAGGGCACTGTTTATGATAATCAGATTGCTGAGTGTTGCTAAACCAGAAATAAAAATTTGCACACAGTCCCTATCTGACTCTTAAGGTTTGCTTGTCCAGTCTCGCTGGTACTTTCCAGTTCCTTTGTTACTGTTTTCTGGCACTGTTAGAACTTTTCTTTGGGCTGGATTGATACAAGTTCTGGCGAAGGCCTCTAAAGACTCAAATCACGTTCCTGAGGTGCTGTGGGAACCCTGACCCTTATGAAAGGCTCCGAGGTTCCTTCAGTTACATCAAGGAAAAGGTGGGCTGGGAAGATGGCTGTCAGTAAAGAGCTTGCTGCAGAAGTGTTAGGGTCTGAGTTTGATCCCCCAAACCTTCATAGGCTTGAAATACCATCACTGGTAAAAAGGAGACAAGAGAGCCCCTGGGGGCCAGCCTCTCGGTGTGCAAACAGGCCAGTGAGAGACCCTGTCTCAGTGAACAAGGGAGATGGCACCCTGAGGGATGACACCGGAAGGGTCATTCACACACTAGGAAGAGAAAAGTCTAGGTGGGGAATGACCGTGCTCCTCTCCTGCACCCTGGTCTCTTGGACTACCCACATTGGATTAAGACACCTTTATAAAGAATATTGTTTAGTTCTCCAAGTATATTTTTTATTTTGTGGTATTTGGTGACAGAGGCTTCATCCCATCAGGAAGTCCTAAATATCTTGTTCATTTCTTTAAAATTCTGTTTTGTGGCAAGGTCTTCATCATATAGCCCAGCCTGGCCTCCAATTAGTCAGTCTTTCTGCCTCAGTTTCCCTAAGGCTAAGATTACAAAGCATTTGCCACCAATCTTTTAAAACGTGCTCTTTTTTATTCTTTTTTTTTATTTTATTTTATGTATTTTGGAGTTTTGTCTACATGTATGTCTGTGTGAGGGTGCTGGAGTTATAAGATAGTTGTGAGCCACCATGTGGGTGCTGGGAATTGAACCCAGGTCCTCTAGAAGAGCAGCCAGTGCTCTTAACCACTGAGCCATCCCTCCTGCCCTCCCCCCCCCCATAACATGCTCTGTTGCTGTGACCCATCTTTCCTGCTTTGCCTCCGTGGCTCTGGTCTTAGGTGGTTGCTGCCTCCATTTTTTCATAGCTGTGGGTGCCTGGTTAAATGAGACTTTGACAGCAAGGACCAGAAAACAAAGCCAGCTTCGATTAGAAATGCAGACTGTGTTCCTGATGATTCTCTTAGACTTTAGGCACACCTCCAGACCGCTAGTCCATGTGTATGGACCTTGCAGTGGCCGTTGATTCTGCTGGGTGGCCCCTGCTTCCACGGGGGTGAGTGATGCTATGCTCTTGGTAAGAAGCAGGTCTCTTTGGGGATGGACAGCATTCTCCTCCTTGCCCAGTCAGTGTGCTTGGGCCAGTGGTAGCTTTGTCGCCACTTGGCCTCTTTTTCTCTCTCTGTTTTCTTTCCAGCCTCTGACTATGGGCTGTTTCTCTCTGATGAAGACCCCAGGAAAGGGATTTGGTTAGAAGCAGGGCGGACACTGGATTACTACATGCTGCGGAATGGGGTATGTTGTTGGTCCTGTTTCCTTTTTACTTTTTTATCTATTTTTATGTGTAAGGATGATTTAATTGCATGTGTGGCTGTGTACTACTTTCTTGACTGGTACCTTTGGAGTTCAAAAGATGGTGTTAGATTCCCCTGAAACTGGAGTTACAGACTGTTGTGAGCTGCCATGTGGGTGCTAAGACTCAAACCTGGGTCTTCTGGAAGAGCACTCAGTGCTCTTAACCACTAAGCTATCTCCTGAGCCCCATCTTTAATTTTTTTTAAATAACATTTCCTTATTGCGTGTCTGTGTATGTGGATTTGTGTGTTTCATGGCATGCATGAAGATGCCAGAAAACAACTTTCAAGAGTTGGTTCTCACCTTCTATAATGTGGATCCCAAGAACTAAACAATCTTGGTGCCAGGCACCTTTACCCACTGGTCCACCTTGCTGGTCCACTGGTTCTCTTTTCTCATTGCTTCACTGCTGGGAAACCAGCTCTGGAAACCCACTGTGGCTGTGTTCTAATCTAAGAGCACCTTATTAACAATTCCCATGCCATGAACCTGCAAGGCTGTCCGGGTGGTGAGAAGAAGCTAAAAATCTAAAATTCCTGAAATTCCACAGAAGTATTGAAACAGTTCGAGGTTAGTAAGCTGAGCAGCGTCTCCATGCTGAGCACAGTTGGGCTTGGCAGTTGTGAGATGAACTACAGTATCTTCCTTGAGTAGATACAAGGTGTCCCCGGACTGGATTAGAAACTGAGGCTACATGACGGAAAGCAGAGATGCCCTAAGACTGCCCAAGGCTTGTTTTTGAAAAAGAAACGTCAAATGGAGATGCATCTTTATTAACTCTTAGTGATAGTAACAAAAGTTACCTCTGCCGTTTAAGTGATGAATAAAAACATGCTGAGCGTTTGTCCCCCTTGACCTTCAAGGTCCTGGGGTTTTCTGTGCCTGATGAAGCAGACTTGTCAGATCGGCCAGGCTTCCAAAAAGCAAGGGTGGAATGTTCAGTTAGTTCGTGGTGCTTACTCTGCCCGTCTGTGGTTCTGTTTCTAAGAATTAAAATGAAAACAACGAGGTCTCCTATTTTGAAGTAACCCCCAACCTCATTCTTTGTTTTATCTTACCACCAATGTCCTTTCCTGCAGTCTCGTCAAACTATGCCTGCTTTGATATGCGCCTTCGATGACGCTTTCTGGGGATGTTATTTATGTCTTTCATTATGTAGACTACATATACAGTAAATATATACAGCAAGCGTTCTGAAGTAACATTTTAAAAAGAGATGTTTATTTTGTGTGTGGAGGTAGTAAACATTGTTTCTGGTGACAACGCATGGCTGGAGACTCCACTGCCATTGTTTGAAGTATCGCCTTCTCCTCCTCCCTCTCCTGAGTGTTTGCTCTTTCCCAGCCGTTGGAGCATGTAGCCATCTTCACTTTAGAGAAAGTGGTTTTCAGTCATCGTGAGCTACAAGTATTCCTTCCTGAAGGACACTCTTATTAGGAGAGGTTTCCCTAATCCTCCTGAAAGTCATCACTAAGCTCTCAGAATTCTGTGTGTGCATCCCAGCAGCACCCCTGCGAATACTTAGGAAGGCTTTCAAAAGAGTTTTGGACAAAGGAAGATGTAGGCATCTTCTGGGGACTTGATTTCCAAAGAAAAGTGTCTGATGCCGTTGTGTTTCTTCAACTCAGAATGTGGCGTATGTGTGTGTATGGCTTGTGTCTAGGATATTTTGGAGTACAAGAAGAAACAGAGGCCTCAGAAAATCCGGATGTTGGATGGCTCTGTGAAGACAGTGATGGTGGATGACTCGAAGACAGTTGGGGAGCTCCTGGTCACCATCTGCAGCAGGATAGGTGAGCAGCTCAGCTCTCCCTGCGGCTGTTGCTTTGGCCACACCCACCCCTGCCCACACCCAGGAAGGTACTGTCCAGTCTTTCCATTTGCCTGGCCTCCAGCTGGTATAAAACTTCTCGCTGAGCTGTGGTTGGGAGCTTTTATTTCCCTTTGTAGAAAACACAAAGGAGTTTCTTGGTGAAAAGGATTTTTGATTGTGTGATTCACCCTTCCCCACTGATGGCCATTATCTCTCGAATTCTCATGATAACAGCCAATGTGACTCTCACAGATTTACTTCGTGTGGCTTCAGAGAGCCACTTCAATGAAGCCCTTTAAGTGCTGGGTGAAAGGAGGTCTTCTCTGTCTTGGGCTTCCCTACATGGAAGGGCCCAGTTCATCTGTATCCTTCTTGTTTGACAGGATCATGTCTTATTCTGTCCTGCTGTTGTTTCTCAAATATTAATGGAGGCCGGGCATGGTGGTATGCCCCTTCAATCCCTGCAAGGAGGATGCAGGGCAGACAGGTCTTGGTGATTCCATGGCCACCATGGTCTACATAGTGAGTTCCAGGCCAGATAGGACTGCATTGTGAGACTGTGTCTCCAAATAAGGAACTACAGAAATAAATAAAAATTACTGGAGTAGTTGAGATGTAGCTCAGTGATAGATGCTTTTCTTTCATGTTTTAGGCTTGATCTCAGAGAGAGAGAGAGAGACAAAGACACAGAGAGGGGGCAGAGACAGAGAGAAAGAGAGGAGAGAGTGTATGTAAGTGCGTTTGTGGAGAAAAATGTACTCACCACCTTGAATGCGGCTTCCCAGCCTGCAGAGCCTTTGTTTGTGCTGGAGCTGCTGCTGTGTGGCCACCCTGGCCCTCAAGTCAAGAAGACCCCTTCCTTTGCTTTGACAACGTGGACCTTTTGCAGCACCCCAGGCCCTAAGTAGACGTTGGTAGCAATTTAATTGTGTGTAATCATGACGCCATTTCTGTTACTAGGAATAACAAATTATGAAGAATATTCTTTAATCCAAGAAACGATTGAAGAAAAGAAAGAGGAAGGGACGGGCACACTCAAAAAGGACAGGACGTTGTTACGAGACGAGAGGAAGATGGAGAAGCTGAAGGCCAAGCTCCACACGGATGACGACTGTAAGTTTCTGTGGGGGAGACTGGTGGCCCAGGTACACAGTCCCCCAGAGCCTGGATCCCCTGCCAGCATCCACGTGACTGAGAGCTACTTTGGGTTGTTTTTTTTTTCTTCTAAATCTGTAAATGTTTCGGTTTGTCTCACTAAAACATAATACTTACAAACAACTTTTAAAGTGGCTAGAATAATCTTTGACATCTGAAAAAGAATCCATTCATATCAAATATATAAATTGTGTTCATGATTTCCCACTATCTTGCAAAAAAAATGTAATTAATGTATTGGGATCTAAATGTAGCAGAATAGCATATGGACTTAACTAAGCAAGCTCCCTCTCCATCTCTCTTACTTTGTCCCTTGCAATTTGTGTGTGCATGTGTGTGTGTGTGTGTGTGCGCGCGCGCATGTGTGTGTGACAAGACCTTTCTTAGGTTGTGAATGTTGCTAAGTATATACCTTTTGTGTCCCTCTGAACTCCTTAGATCTGCAGGCTTGCTTAGCAGTGTGGGGGTGGGGGTGGTAATAAGCACTCCTTCGGCAGTGGTTTCTGGCTGTCTTTAAGAGAGAGAGATATTAATAGTCTCCAGTACCATGCCTAGATCCATTATTTCCTTAGATTGAGATCAGTGAGGTTGGTCTGTCATAGCCATGTGACTTCCGCAGCCACATGGATCATGTGTACAAAAGCCGCAGATGACCTGGGATGCTCCCAAAGCCCTGCTCTATGACCTTTGCTTCCCACCCTCCACTGGGAGGAGCTTAGTTCATCACCTGGCCCCCTCCCTTCCAGCCTCCTTGTTCCCGCTGCCCCTCTGAGGTGACATCATCACTTTCATAATGTTTATTGATCTTTGGTGGGCCTGCCATTTCCTCCGAGTCCTCCTCTGTTTCCTTCTCTTTCTACCTCATTAAATTTCCAGTTACAGACTTCTTTCCAGAAGCCTTTAGTAGACAAATCCAAGGATTTATTAATGTGTACACAGTACCCTCCCAGGTGACTGTGGAAGAGGAGATCTGTCAGACAGGTTTCTTATGCCAGAACTGCTTAGCATTTGGTGAGGCTGGTCATAAATACATAACCCAGTGAGTGTGTGTGGGGGGGGCATTGGGGGGATAGGAGAGGGAGAGGAATAGAGGAGACAGGGGGCTTCAGGAAGTGAGCAGGGGAGTGGCTGATTCCTATGTACCACAATGTGAGGACAGGATTTTTAGGGTGATGTCATATTCAGGCTGGCCCACAGGGGCAGATGTCATCTCTAGCTGTTAGCATGGAGTCTCTACACCACCTCATGACTTTCATTTTCTCCCTCTTTCCTGTTGGAGATCAGAGAAACTTGTTATACCCAGGGTCTCTTAAACCATCTCACTAGAGAAGACTAAAGTAACTTCTCTTGATTTCAAGGAAAACTCTAACTTAATGTGTTCATTATTTGTCTTGTTACTGTGACCATTACCTGACAAGAAGATATTTAAGTGTAGGTGAGATGACCCAGTGGGTAAAGGCACTTGCTGACAAGGCTGATGATCTGAGTTCGATGCCTGGGACCCATATGGTACAAAGAGACAACCCATTCCCATGTGTCCTCTGACTCTGTATGTACTCCACAACATAGCCACACATACACACACACACACACACACACACACACACACACAATCAATAAATAAGATGTAATCAACACAAGAAGAGCAGCTATTTAAGGAAGGGAGGGCTTGTTTGGGTGTACAGTTCAAGGGGATATGTTCCATCTTGGCAGGGAAGGCGTGGAGACAGGAAGAGGAGGCCTCTGCTCACATTGTATCGTCAGTCCAGAGAGGCAAAGCATCATCAGAAAGTGGGGCCAGGTTGTAGAACCCTCTTCCTCCGATGAGGCTGTACTTGCTGAAGGTCCCATAGCCTCTCCCCAACCACAACTCCTGAGGACCCAGAGTTCACACTTTTCATATGATACCACTTGGTTTCTTAGTGCCAAACACTGACTTCCCTCCTCCCTCACCTCTACTCTGTATTCCCAGTGCGCTGTAGTACAGTAGCTAACTCTGGGAATGGCTGGGGATTTGAGTATGGTAGGTGTCAATCATCTCCCAGAGTTAAGAAGTGATCATAAGCAACCATCAGCATTTATGGAAATCCACTTCCCCAGCAGGCTGCTGTAGTGAATAGTAAACACTGTCCTTCCGTCTGTCTCATGTTGCAGTAAATTGGCTAGATCACAGCCGGACATTCAGAGAGCAAGGAGTGGATGAAAATGAAACCTTGCTTCTTCGACGGAAGTTCTTTTACTCTGATCAGAATGTGGACTCAAGAGACCCGGTGCAATTGAACTTGCTTTACGTCCAGGTACGGTATTTACTGGTCAGACAACAGATGGGTGGGGTAGCTAGTGTTAATTGTCAGCCTGACAGCACCTGGAGTCACCTGGGAAGGGATTCTCAGTGAGATGTTGTTTAGCTTAGGTTGGCCTGTGGGCGTGTCTTGATTATGTTAATTGAGGTGGAAAGACCCACCAACTGTGGGTGGCGTTATTCCCTAGGCAGCAGAGTCTTGATTCAATAAGAGAGGAGAAAGCATACTCAGAACTAGCATGCATCTCTGCTCTTGACTATGGATATAAAGTGATAAACCTCTTCAAGTGACAGCTGCCCCTCTTCCCCACAATGGCAGACTGTAACCTGGAATTGTGAGCCAAATAAACTCTTTCTGCCTTAAGTTGCCTTTGTCAGAACATTTTATTACAGCAGCAGAAAAGAAACAAAAACATTAAGTAAACCTTAGGAGATTTCTGCCTGGTCTTGTGGTAAATAGGTGTTCATTCTAGTTCCCACACAGTAGAAAGAATCTGAAGTCCAGAGGTGCTGTTCTTCACTCCCTGGTGGGAACTAGCATTGGATATAATCTACTGGTTTTCCAGAGGAGGGCTTCACTGCTCCTCTCTGGGGTGTCTTGGGTTAGGATCTAGTGGCCAACACTGTCCCCTGCCTGGCCCTAGGAGACAGTTGGATTCCTTTAACTGATCTCATTTCACAGGCTAGCGTCTTAGGCTACAGAAGAATATTGGCCAGAAAAATCAGTACTGCTTGTTAGCTCCGAGCTACCTTCTCAGTCACAAGTCTTTGCTGTTAACTAATTATTTAAGCTCAGAAAATCGTTTTAACACCTGAACTACGATCTCTCAGCATATGTGATGTGGGCTTTGCGCTAGGTTGCCCGAGGGCTTCTTTTGACTCAAGGAAAATGCCACCCATGTTTCTTTAGAATTTCTTCCCACCTCAAATTCCTTCTGTCCTTCCTTTTACCTACTTGTCTGCCCTTAGAAACGATGCAGGGTTTACAAACTGTAGCCCTACCATCTGCCAGTATTGAAAGTAAATAATTCATTTCTGTAAGCATTATATATTGGCAAATCCCTTTACCCATCTCATAGCTGTTTGTCTGTTTTCTGTGCCTACTCTTGGATTTAACTAGCAGAAGTAGGTGCGTAGTTAGAACACAGGCCAAGTCCACTGAAGGTCTGAGATACTGTTTGCTGACTTCTGCGGAAGAAAGAATGATACTGGATGATGCTAGAAGGCAGAAAGGAAGGGAGCTAGCTGGGCAGTTACGAGAAACTTCCACATTTAGAGCCTAGAGGAATAGCTGAGAATGCCCATCTCAGAGTGTTCTGGGTCGTGTAGCTAGAGACAAGGAAGATGGAAGGGCGAGGGATAAATAGCCACAGTCACTGTGATTCAGGAGAACTGGGAACAGGACTTTCATGTAAAATCTTGCATTGCTGGGCCCTGCATGTCCTCAGACTGCCCTCTTGTCTGGTTATGGGAGTACATATCTGTCTGTCTGTCCCTCCTAGTAGATCATATTGGCCCTTGGCTGATTGAGATAGTTTTGCCTCTTTGTACATGTTTTTCTTCCTAGCTTTATGACTTAGGCTCAGGTGAAGCAAATCATATTTCTAAGTCAGCCCATATGAATCCGGGCATTTCACAGGATTTCCAGTGTCTCTTCGTTTTTCTTAGTCTCGTCTGCCTTCCTAGCTTTATCAGTAGGGGTGATTGATTGATTGATAATCCAGGTGCCTGTGGTGCTGTTGCCCTCTTTGGGAAGGGCACACAAAACCTCCTTTCTTTTGTTTCTGCCTTCCCCAGTATTCACTGTGCCTGCGTGTCCACAGTACCTCTCCTGAGTCAGGGATATGTCACTAGGAGAAGTGTGACCCTTGCCAGGCCCTTGAATCTCGTCCTTCTTCATGTATTTCAGGCTCGGGATGACATCCTGAATGGCTCTCACCCTGTCTCCTTTGAGAAGGCATGTGAGTTTGGTGGATTTCAAGCCCAGATACAGTTTGGACCTCACGTGGAGCATAAACACAAGCCTGGATTCTTAGAGTAAGTGCCCCTCCATTATTTTTCTTCCCCCTCTTTTCTCCTGCTTATGTATGAGAAGGAACCTAAGAGGAACCTCCTTATTCCAACTGGTTGTGAAAATTGACTTTCACACGACTGAGTTTGGGACCCAAAATGCAGACTGTTGTTGGTAGAGTAAGATACGTAAAAATATAGAATAGAGACTGTCAACATTATCCAATTTAAACGACTCTTTCTTTGCTGGAGAGTCTATGATACCTGGCCAGTTGGTTCTCACAGCCAGCTTTTTATAATGTTGGGCCTGCAAGCAGGATAATGGCTAAGCTACCTCTCCAGCCTAGGTTTGAATTCGTTATTAGAATCTTAAGAGTTCTTGGTCTCTTTGGGAGCACAGTGGACACATGTCCTGGCCGTGGCCTTGTCTCCGTCTTGGTCTTTGGTTCTCTTTTCTAGAAGGATGGGGTGGTTTCGTTTCTCTGGCTCTGTACTCTGGTGCCTACATTAGAAAGCTGACCCTGCAGATTCACTGTGGCCATGTGGAGCACAAGCCTTTGGCTTCAATCTCTTGGGAACACCCTGCTGGGCAGGCTGCTGCTTTCCTCAGGTGCCTTTCCCTTGGTGTGGATCTAGACTTTTCTAAAGGCTTTTATGTATTGCTTCCTCTGATGCTGTTCTTTATCTGGTGTACTCCCTCCCCTTCCCCTCCCTAATTCCATTAGTATGAAGTATTTGGAGAGGATAAAAATAATCTCCCAGCCTCATCAGTGTCCCACGGGCACCTAGAATTATAACTGTAGGGAGGTGAGGTGGGGAGCTTATGTGAATTCTGCCAGAGGAGGACTCAGCCATCTCAAGATATCTTCAGTGGGTCATCTATAGTGCTGGGGGTGGCTTGAGAGGAGAGGGTAAGGCAAGCATTTTGGCCCTTCACATTCTCTTTGGTAGAAGGTTGGAAGCAGCCTATGCCCTTGACAAAAAAGAAAACGCAGTTTTTCTCTTGGGCTCAGGCAAAGTCAGATAGCACACCTTGCTATGTGGTCCAAACTGAATTGTTACAGAAAAGACACCATAACACTAGGTTGAGTTAATGAATCCCAGGAGCTTTTGCAATGTGAAGCTTTATGCTATAACATACATTCAGCGACCTTGAGTCTGAGGTGGCCTTGAACAGTTCCTCTTACAACAGTCAGTGTTTCCCAGATGAGTTATATGGCCAAGTGCTCCTTTGGGTCCATTTCTCCACGGCTGAACTGGCTTCCTTCTGCGGGAACCCTGGGGAAATATGCCTTTCTGTTCTGTGACACTACATGCTTGTGTTCTTTTCATGGATGTCACATTCACAAATTCAAACCTCACACTCCGTCAGTCTCTCAACTTACCTCTGGTTCTACAGTGACTGAAAATGGAATAGGAGAAAGTGTAGGGCAGATTAATGAGACACTGTAAGTAAAATACTTCCCTTGTTTTAGGTTTTCATAGCTACAACCATGGTTCTGTGGGCCTGGTGGGAAAGAAATATAACCAGAAGCCTAAGAGAGCCTGATGCTCTCCATCCTGGTCACCTTACATGGGCCCTTTCTCTGTGCTGGGCAGCTAATTCTCAGGGTCCCGTTACAAATGGAAAAGTCCAAGCCGGGAGGTGGTGGCGCACGCCTTTAATCCCAGCACTCGGATGGCAGAGCCAGGTGGATCTCTGTGAGTTCAAGGCCAGCTTGGGCTACCAAGTGAGTTCCAGGAAAGGCGCAAAGCTACACAGAGAAACCCTGTCTCGAAAAACCAAAAAAAAAAAAAAAAAAACCAAATGGAAAAGTCCAGACTGTATTTGAAAAGAAGTTAGAGAGATACATGCAGTCACTTCAAGAATTTTCTTCAAACTGGCCTGGGGAGACGGCTCAGTGATTAAAGTGCTTGCCACACAGTCATGAAGACCTAAGTTTGATCCCCAGCACCTACATTAGAATACAAGAAACAAACAAACCAATAAAAACCCCACCGTGCTTGCTGGCACGCCCCTCTAGGCCTAGAACAGGAATGTGGAGACAGGTAGATCACCGGAGCTCACAGGCCAGCCTGTCCATGTGAATCAGTGAGTGAATGTGTGAGAGACCCTGTCTCAAACAATAAGCTGGAGAGAGATAGAGGGAGATGCTCTCACATGCATACGCTAACACCCAAGACCATAAACACACACACACACACCTTTCAAATCCTTGATGTTGTGTGTTATGCCACTCGGATCATAAACACACACACACGGATCATAAACACACACACACACACACACACACACACACACACACACACACAAACACCTTTCAAAGCCTTGATGTTGTGTGTTATGCCACCCAGATTATGATAGATGTTCCTTTCCTTTGCTGATGGCCACTTGTACAGCAGTTAGGCTGGCATTGGTCTGACAAATGTCACCGCAGTCTGGTCCTGTTTTAAGTTGTATACTCACACCCACCAAAATGTCTTGGCCATCTGACCATCTGACAGCCAGTGTTAGATGGTTGTATTGCTTCGGACTTTCCTTAGATGAAGCTTGTGCCTCTCAATAGTTTGTGTCCCCTTGCTCAGATTCTAAATTAAAACAAACTCGTTATGCCTGGTAGCAATTATTTCTCCTCTTGCATTTGATTTACTTTTTAATTAGGCCAGATCTAATCTAGGTAATGAAGCTTTTTCATTTATTGTAGATACTTAATTGTGCATGTTGTTGCTCCTACTGTATTGGTGAAGATTGCTGAGGAGGTGAGCCCCCTCTTAATTAAAACAGACCTGCTAGGCCACACTTCTGATTTGTAGAGTGAGTGTTGGATGCTGGTTTTGCTTAGGCTATCCCTGGTGACTGGCTGGACCTGCATTAGGACACTTGATCACTTTTTTCTTTCTTTCTTTTTCTCTCTTCCTTTTTCTCTCTTTCTTTCTCTCTTTCTCTCTCTCTCTTTCTCTCTTTCTTTCTTTCTTTCTCTCTCTTTCTCCCATTCTTTCTTTCTCTCTCTCTCCTTTCTTTCTTTCTTTCTTTCTTTCTTTCTTTCTTTCTTTCTTTCTTTCTTTCTTTCTTTCTTTCTTTTTTCATGTAGTCTTCCTGCTTTTCACCTAAACAATTAAGAGTTTGCAGACTTAACAGTGGAAGGTTGGACTTGTACGAGGGCTAGGATGAACAGAGCCACTGGGAATTTCAGCCATGTTATTGGTGACGAGATGTGAAGGAGTGTGCCTAAGGAGTGCATTTATTATAATTTTAAAAAGTTTTTGTCTAGCACTTGTGTTCAATATTAGCACACTCAGGACATTTTTGTAAAAATGTCTTCTGACTCTTCTGCAAGCTTTTCAGTGATTTCCAGACTCAGTACCACATAAGTGAAGATATTCATTTAGAATAACAGAATCAGTACCAGGTATGGTTGTGCATGCCTGGAATCCCAACGCTCAGGATGATCCCTTTCAAGTTGGAGGCCAGCCTGGACCACTTCCCAAGTTTTAGGCAGGCCTATATTAAATAGCAAAACCCTGTCTCAAGAAGGGAGGGAGGAGGGAGGGAGAAGGAAGGAAGAAAATGGACTGACTAGAAGACACTGAGTGAAGACACGTTCCACAGAAGCCTGACAACCTGAATAAAATCGTCAGAATTACATAACACACAGGCACACGCGCGCACACACACACACACACACACACACACACACACACACACACATTTTTAAATTAAAAAAAAAAGTAAAAATCAGAGACAAAAAGATCTTCATGTTTTCACGTCTATACAGATTCCTTGATGTGCCATCAACTCGGTAGATGGGAGGAGGGGGTGTAAGTGCCAGAGAGAGACAGACAGAACCAGACCCAGAACCGCCAAGAGCTGCAAGCCAGAGGAAACCTGGGTCTCTCCATTTGCTTTCATAAGCTTTACCTACACGGTAGATTTCCTACGTCACCTGCAGAGAACCCCAGGAAGGGACATTACATCAGAGCCTGAGGAAAGTAGCACACAACATCTAAGGATCGTGAGCTTGCTTCTGCTTCCCTGGGTTTAGACAGTGGTCATAGACAGCATGCCACGGGGCTGGAGAAAGCAGCCAGCAGTCCAGAGCACCGTGGCTGCCCTGGCAGAGGGCCATGAGTTCAGTTCCCAGCAACCTCATGGCAGCTAACAACCACCTGTAACTCCAGTTCCCACCGGCACTACATACACATGGTATACACACACACACACACACACACACACACACACACACACACACACACACACACATTCATACATACAAAGTACAAATAAATCAATCCTTTTAAAAAAGTTTTTAATTTTTTTGAGATTGTAACATAGTTACATTTCCACCTCCCCTTTCCTCCCTCCAAACCTTCCCATATACCCCTCCTTGTTCACTTTTACATTCATAGCCTCTTTTTCTCACTAATTGTTACTGCACATGTGTGTGTGTTTCTCAACATAACCTGCTAAATCCATATAATGTTATTATGTATGTATGTTTTTCATGGCTGACTATTTGGTAAACAAAGCTTTAGAAACAAAACACCAGCATTGTTCTTTAATTCACAGAAGACTGGCATCTATATGTGGCCGCACCAGTGTATGGAAGACAAAAAGACACTACATACTAATTCTTCGATGACTTCTTGAATCCACTTTGCTCTTTAAATCTTATTTTTACTATTTATATGTCTGTGCATTCTTTTGTGCTCATGTGTGGGTGGGAGCAGAGGCCAGAAGATGTCCTTCTCCTGGAGTTGGGGGTCCCAGGATCTCGTGAGCCTCCTGATATAAGTGCTGGGATCTGAACTCCAGACCTCAGGATAGAGCAGTAAGTGCTCTGAACCACAGAGCTGTCTCTGTTGTATTAGTTGCGGGATATTCTGTGTAAATACTGAGTACAACGTGTCTCTAGAAAGGTGGGGAGAATCTGGTGCAGAAGCTGATACTGCTGAGGGGGATTGACACAACACATAGCCGGTTAAAGAAGAAATAACTCCTAAATCAGCAGCAATGCAAAACATCGTCA